TTTTAAAGTTCAAGTTGCATTATTATTGTTATTTTTTGAACCTCATGTTGTATTACTATTGTTATGGTTATTGTAATTATTATATAAGTTTGTTTCTTGATGCCTTATAAATTTTTTGACTTAGACTAAAATTATTCATAGTATCTTCTAGTATGACATATATACAATTATGGAAAACCTTACCATATATAGTGATTGTTTTATATATATAATGATTTGAAATTAACAGTTAATAGTTTTATCTAATTTAACTATTGATAATAATTATTATTATTAATACAAAAACTTTTGTTCATTGAATTAAATAAATTGCTAACCGATAATTTTAAATGTTATACTAAACTACTCCATAAAGTCTTAAAACCATACTTGATATACTATTAATATTAAAGCACAAATGACAATACTAAGAGATAAGAGTAGATCATACCATTGTCATATCATTACTTAAAAAAAACAAGTAATGAAATATACGGCACACAACTTCTAAAGTGATTATTACTATCCACAAACTCTAATGGTCAATATGTACGTTTTTGCTATTGGACTAATTAATTAGCACAATCTTCGTCAATGCAAGTTCATGCTGATAGCTAGCTGTTTGTGCTTGTTTCCTATGTTGAGCCACCAAAAAAGTCCTACATAGTTTATCAATATTGTGCTTGTCAACTAAGAGATGATTTGTCTAAATGAACAGGGTCAAAAGTCTATCCAAAGGCGGGAATGCTAAAAAGGATCAGGTTGTAAATATACATGGGCACCAAGCAATAAGGGATGCTTCATTAGCATCTTCTCTCAGCCAGCTTCGGCCAATGTCGATGGTGTTTATGAGCGTCAGCAAGAAGTGCAAGTAGGGGATATGAGTCCGAAGTGCAATTAACTACAGCCATACAGGACAATATTCCATGCATCTAAGAGAGGTTACAGTGGTCATTTCAAGAAAGATTTGAAGAACAGGGAGGGCAGGGGGGGACTTGTTCTTTTTACGAGTAACAACTTCATTTTAGAATTTAGTTGGTAATTTTCAATATTCAAGAGAGAAGATTAGCCTAGCCAAAATGGGAAAAAGAATACATATATTTGATAATGCATTCCTATAAATCAAAAACACCAAAAAAATAGATTTACAATACAACCTAAAACAATATAACAAATGTATAAAAATGTGGAAATACTTTATGAGCATCATAAAAAGGAAAACGCCCGCAGCCACAGAATAATGAAACTTCAGATAATTTATAGAAGATAGGAGTAAATTAACCTCTGAACAAACGGATCCGAGCAATGGCCTTTCCAATCGTCTTTAGAACAACTCCATTTAAAGAACGGCCAAAAATGGCTATCAAACTTAATTGGTAACCAGAAGGAGTGCATGCAGCCTTCATAATTAACAACTGCCTTCTCATCCATACACCTCTTTCTTCTTATTCTTTTTCTGAGTCGGTTTGTGGGGAGTGTGATATATCTCTTACTAAATAGTTTTTGCAAA